TTATGCACATTTGCCTAAAAATAGATGTTGTGGAGTAGTTTGAAGCTGATCAAAACATCATTCATTTTGCATAGGGTCAGCTCGAAAGATAGGCATAAAATAGTCAAATCTTTCCTTAAAATTAGTGATTTCCTCTCCATCGTCTACTAAGCCCAATTCTTGATTTTGACCCACATATCGTCTATCTACCGTAGCCCTAGAGGCAGTCCTCTGTATCTTAATCAACACGTCAACGCTATCAGCTTTGAATTCTAAGATTTCCATGATCCTGGGATTCCAGGAGGCAATTGTCGAGGTAGCTCTTCGGAAACCTACACTTTTATGTTTTTGAACCGATTAAATTATCATGTGGCTTAGTAATATCACTGTTAATTAGAGTTAGTAATTAACTAATTCTCTGGTCTTTGCCTTTTTCCTTTTCCTTTGATTTTAAATTTTTTTTAAGTTGAAGAAAAAATCTTTGGAGAGCTTAAAATCAGTAAAAGTGATTGGTCTGTCACAAGTCATCAAAGATTCTGCCTGATTGCGAATAATTTTGCAAAAAGTTGACGAAGAGACCTGTTTCGCGCAACAGCAATGATACCGTATCTTGAATAGTCGCTCGGAGTGACAATGGCTGCAGGAAGGGGAACAATGAGAATTACATAAAGATGATATGAAGAAATGAGGTCATTAAGTTGTTGAGTGTCCCTAACTACGCGTTTTTCGCTGGATGAGTAAATCACAAGCAATGTTTGGAAGCCACATTTTTTTCCTATTCCCCTGATTTATTAACTTTTGTTAGTAACTGCTTGAACTTGAGTGAAGACAAGGATTGATGCAAAATACATGAAGCAAGCTTTTTACGGCGTCTAGTGGTGTTAGCGACATGTACTATTACTCCTTCAGCCATTACCCATTGTCTTACTGTAGCTAAACAAGCGTAGAAGTACTTTAGATAAACTACACTGTACTTTACTCCTAACATATGGTAAGCCTTCTATGGATTAAATTCCAGCGGTAACGCATCCAAAGCATTTTTTTTGCACTTATTTCTACTGTACTGAGGAACGGTAATGTTTCGAAAAGTGAAGTTGTTTA